CCCCAAACGACCCCCATGAAGGTCACGACCCCCAGGTTAAGAACCGCTGAGTTAGTGAGACGCGGTCAGTTAGTGATGAGGTCTGGCACGCGACACGGCAGCGGTCACGCGAGGCGAGCGTTGTCGTGAACGGGTCTTTGTCCGGACACTTCTCAAACGATCGAGGTTTACACAGGCGTCACTGGCGAGGCGGAAGGGAACAAGCGTGCCTGCTTACGATTAATGGGATCCGAGTGAAGTACGATAACCGACTGACCAAAACAGTGAACCTTACAAGAACGGAGTTTAAACGGACTGAATTTACACAACAAACAAACTATAAAGAAACCAATGATAAAATTAAGAAGTTGAATTTACACAACAAACAAACTATAAAGAAACCAATGATAAAATTAAGAAGTTGAATTTACACAACAAACAAATTATAAAGAAAGCAATGATAAAGAAGTTCGCACAGACGATCAATACCTGCTGTAAATCTGTCGCAAATCGCAACACTTACATAGAAAATCTTGACAGAACTCTTAATTCCTAAAAAGAAATGAATATCTATAGATTGGATATATCCCCGAGTGGGACAAAATAAAAAGGGCGAGTATAAGAAAGTGAGAAATAATCAGCGGTGTCACTATATTGAACATGAACACCTCACTTACTGTGAGAGGAAGTCAGCGTGATAGTAGTAGTCGGTGAGCTTGTCGAGGAACGATCGCGGCTCGAGGATGAAGGTCGGAAGCACGACCTTGGACAAGTCCATTCCCGGTCGCACCTACCAGCAGAGGAGAAATCCCGCATGTGAGTGCATGCGCTCAGAGCTTGTTACGTGTTAAGCCCGGCGCACACGTGAGTAATTTTACTCAAGTAAAATGATGCATGCGTCAGAATACTCACGCGAAATATTTTCAGCGTCCGCCGCACACGTGAGTAAAATTACTCAAGGTATAAGTGGTAATGTAGCTCACGTGACTGTGCGCAGCCAATACTGGGCGCAGTACTCTTTAAAATGATTTAAACGCATGCGCTGTGAGTACCAGTATTGAGTAAATTTACGCAGCTAGCGTGCACACGTTGAGTATTTTGACGCATGAGTCAAAAATGATCAAACATGTTTGATAT